ATTACATTCCCACCAATAGAGCCTGGTGGCGATTCTAGGGAAGTCGAAATTGAATGCACCAAGATTTATTCCAAGCTACAAAAAGAGTTAAATGCAAAAAAACAGAGAGCAAAGTGAATCCATTAGGGAAAAAAAACCACTTTTAATGTCCCTTCAAAGAGGCACCATGCAGTGACAGTCAGTCGTTTCTTGCCCCACTTCTCTTCCCTGTCCTGTGTCTCAAGAACGAAAGGAAAGGGAGTGACCCACAGCTAGGGAGAGGCCTCTCCAGGGGGCCGAGAAGGCGAGACTGCGGTGGGGGGAAACCACCTCGCGGAAGGACTTTAAATGGGGGTGGGGGGTAGGGGACGGAGAGAGTAAAGGGAAAGAGCGAAGGGGATTTTAAAAGTGAAGGAAAAGAGGCAAAGGTGGTGTCTACGTGGACCAAAGGCAGAAAAGCCAAGGGCTCCGAAACCCACCTCACAGCATTTTTAAACCCAAAGGACAACACGACACCTTTGACAGAAACCTCTGGATATACTCGGGGTGTTTTAGGTCCCTCGATATTCTCAAGCCGAGGGTAGGGTAAGGTGGACAAAAGAAGTTCAAATTTACAGTAGAAAGGAGAAACACGCCCCCCAGCAACTAACTCCACGCCGAATTCGCCACTTTAGCTTCTTGAAGAAACTACGCAGGCGCGAAGTTAGAGCGCGCTTCCGGGGGCGCGGCCAGGGCGGAGCGCTATCGGGGATGGGCGGGGCGAGTGAGCTCTCCTGTGCGCAGAGTTCGCAGGGATGAGGTGTATGGGTTGGGGAGGAGATAAGTGACTTCCGGGCGCTTTGAAACTGCTGATTTTATGTTACTATCTATAACGGTTTTGTGGTAAAAGCTGAGAGATGTGTGGGGCCCTGACGGCGGAAACGATCTTTCCTCCTAACAAGTTGAAAACGGTTTCAATAAAAAGCTGTGTGTTTTTTTTTTTTTTACAGCAGTTTTCCCCCGTGCCCCTAGTGTGTGCGGTACCGCATTTCAGTCGTTGTGGGACTCTGCGACCCATGGACTGTAGCCCTCCAGGCTCCTCTGTCCATGGGATTCTCCAGGCAAGAATACCGGAGTGAGTTGCCATGCCCTTCTCCCGGTTTCCTCCTGAGGCTCAAGCAATTAAGAGGTTGAAACGTGGGTTTCCAAGCATTTGCTGCGTGGCAGTGGTTGGATCGGGAACATTACTTGCAGTTAGAATCAATTTAAACAGTTTGAGGAAACAAGATTTGGGCTTCTCTAGTATAAACTAGAATGAGAAATACAAAATTCTCCCTAGGCATTTCGTACGGACATCCTGCAGAACAGCTCTTGAGTTTCTATTTCCCGGTTAGCCAGCAGACAAAACTCAACACTCTGCTCAGTTCCAGAGACTCAGGGACAAAACCTGGGGTCTGAGACTGGAGAACTAAGGCATATTATAGTGTCCCTAGTTAACAATACATTTTGTTGTTGTTATAATTGCGTTGTTCTTTCTTTGGGCTAGAGTGTCTTGTCTTTTAAAACCAACTTGCTCCCACCCAGTTTTATTGAGATATACTTTACATCTCTGTATAAGTGTAAGTTGTTCAGCATAATGTGCTAACTTACGTATATTGAAAAAATTACAACATTAGTATCCATCATCTCATACATACATTTCTTTTTATGAGAACTGCATTATTCATTAAAATGCCTACTCTATTCTACTTTTTAAAAATTTTGGCTGCATCCTGTGATTTATGGGATGTTAGCTCCCCAACAAGGGACCCATATCCCTTGCACGAGAAGGAAGATTTTTAACTTATATTTTAAGTGAAGGATAATTGCTTTACAGAATTTTGTGGTTTTCTGCCAAATATCAACATGAATCAGCCACAGGTGTACATGTCCCCGCCCTTTTGAATCTCCCTCCCATCTCTCCCCTCTAGGTTGATACAGAGCCTGTTTGAGTTCCCTGAGACACAACAAATTCCCATTGTCTATCTTACAGTTCTTGTACAGAACTGTACAAAAAAGATCTTCAGGACCCAGATAATCACGATGGTGTGATCACTCACCTAGAGCCAGACGTCCTGGAATGTGAAGTCAGGTGGGCTTTAGAAAGCATCACTATGAACAAAGCTAGTGAAGGTGATGGAATTCCAGTTGAGCTATTTCAAATCCTGAAAGATGATGCCATGAAAGTACAGCACTCAATATGCCAGCAAATTTGGAAAACTCAGCAGTGGCCACAGGACTGGAAAAGGTCCGTTTTCATTCCAATCCCCAAGAAAGACAATGCCAAAGAATGCTCAAACTACCGCACAATTGCACTCATCTCACACGCTAGTAATGTAATGCTCAAAATTCTCCAAGCCAGGCTTCAGGAATACATAAACTGTGAACTTCCAGATGTTCAAGCTGATTTTAGAAAAAGCAGAGGAACCAGAGATCAAATTGCCAACATCCGCTGGATTATCGAAAAGGCAAGAGTTTCAGAAAGACATCTATTTCTGCTTTATTGACTATGCCAAAGCCTTTGACTGTGTGGATCACAATACTGTGGAAAATTCTGAAGGAGATGGGAATACCAGACCACCTGACCTGCCTCTTGAGAAACCTGTATGCAGGTCAGGAAGCAACAGTTAGAACTGGACATGGAACAACAGACTGGTTCCAAATAGGAAAAGGAGTCCATCAAGGCTGTATACTGTCACCCTGCTTATTTAACTTATATGCAGAGTACATCATGAGAAACACTGGGCTGGAAGAAGCACAAGCTGGAATCAAGATTGCTGGGAGAAATATCAATAACCTCAGATATGAAGATGACACTACCCTTATGGCAGAAAGTGAAGAGGAACTAAAAAGCCTCTTGATGAAAGTGAAAGAGGAGAGTGAAAAAGTTGGCTTAAAGCTCAACTTTCAGAAAACTAAGATCATGGCATCCGGTCCCATCACTTCATGGGAAATAGATGGGGAAACAGTGGAAACAGTGGCTGACTTTATTTTGGGGGGCTCCAAGATCACTGCAGATGGTGATTGTAGCCATGAAATGAAAAGACGCTTATTCCTTGGAAGGAAAGTTATGACCAACCTAGATAGAATATTAATAAGCAGAAACATTACTTTGTCAACAAAGATCTAGTCAAGGCTATAGTTTTTCCAGTGGTCATGTGTGGATGTGAGAGTTGGACTGTGAAGAAAGCTGAACGCAAAAAAAATTGATGCTTTTGAACTGTGGTGTTGGAGAAGACTCTTGAGAGTCCCTTGGGCTGCAAAGAGATCCAATCACTCCATCCTAAAGGAGATCAGTCCTGGGTGTTCATTGGAAGGACTGATGCTGAAGCTGAAACTCCCAATACTTTGGCCACCTGATGTGAAGAGCTGACTCACTGGAAAAGACCCTGATGCTGGGAGGGATTGGGGGCAGGAGGAGAAGGGGACGACAGAGGATGAGATGGCTGGATGGCATCACCTACTCGATGCACATGAATTTGAGTAAGCTCCTGAGTTGGTGACAGACAGGGAGGCCTGGCGTGCTGCGATTCATGCAGTTGCAAAGAGTCAGACACAACTGAGGACTGAACTGAACTGAATGTAAGTTTCCATGTTACTCTCTCCATCTCACCCTCTCCTCACCTCTCCCTGTGTACATAAGTTTGTTCTCTACATATGTTTCCCCACTGTTGCCTTGCAAATAAATTCACCAGTACCATCTTTCTAGATCCCATATATATGCGTTCAGTTCAGTCGCTCAGTCGTGTCCGACTCCTTGCGACCCCATGAACAGCAGCACACCAGGCCTCCCTGTCCATCACCAACTCCCGGAGTCCACCCAAACTCATGTCCATCGAGTTGGTGATGCCATCCAGCCATCTCATCCTCTGTAGTCCCCTTCGCCTCTGTTTCCCCATGAAGTGATGGGACCAGATGCCATGATCTTAGTTTTCTGAATGTTGAGCTTTAAGCCAACTTTTTCACTCTCCTCTTTCACTTTCATCAAGACACTCTTCAGTTCTTCACTTTCTGCCATAAGGGTGGTATCATCTGCATATCTGAGGTTATTGATATTTCTCCCAGCAATCTTGATTCCAGGTTGTGCTTCTTCCAGCCCAGAGTTTCTCATGATGTACTCTGCATATAAGTTAAATAAGCAGGGTGACAGTTTACAGCCTTGATGTACTCCTTTCCCAATTTGGAAACAGTCTGTTGATCTATGTCCAATTCTAACTGTTGGTTCCTGACCTGCATACAGATTTCTCAAGAGGCAGGCCAAGTGGTCTGGTATTCCCATCTCTCAGAATTTTCCACAGTATTGTGATCCACACAGTCAAAGGCTTTGGCATAGTCAATAAAGTAGAAATAGATGTCTTTCTGAAACTCTCTTGCTTTTTCGATAATCCAGGGGATGTTGGCAATTTGATCTCTGGTTCCTCTGCCTTTTCTAAAACCAGCTTGAACATCTGGAAGTTCACAGTTCACATATTCCTGAAGCCTGGCTTGGAGAATTTTTGAGCATTACATTACTAGCATGTGAGATGAGTGCAATTGTGTGGTAGTTTGAGCATATATGCATTAGTATACGCTGTTTATCTTTCTCTTTCTGACTTACTTCACTCTGTATAATAGGCTCTAGATTCACCCACCTCATTAGAACTGACTCAAATTGCGTTCCTTTTCATGCCTGGAATTCTCTGGTGGCTCAGATGGTAAAGAGCCTGCCTGCAAGGTGGGAGACCAGAGTTTGATCCCTGGCTCAGGAAGACCCCCTGGAGAAGAAAATGGCAACCCACTCCAGTATTCTTGCCTGGAAAACTCCATGGACGGAGGAGCCTGGTCGGCTACAGTCCATAGAGTTGCAGTAAGACACGACTGAGTGACTTCAGTTTCTTTATGGTCAATTAACATTCCAATTTGTGTATGTACAGCTTCTTTATCCATTCATCTGTCAATGGACGTCTTAAGTTGCTTCCATGTTCTAGCTATTGTAAATAGTGCTGCAATGAATATTGGGGTACATCTTTTTCAATTTTGGTTTCCTCAGGGTATATGCCTAGCAGTGGGATTGCTGGGTCATATGGTGGTGGAAGGCAGATTCTTAACCACTGGGCCACCAGGAAGTCCCTCTTTCTCTTTTTGTTCTCTCTACTGGTGTTCCTGCTCTATTTCAGGACCTCACAAGGGTCCTAGTTACTCTACTCGTTTCCCCTCTTACTGCACTTTCCCCTAAACCTTTGACTGCCTTAAATCTATTTTTGCCTTTCTTTCCCATCTCTGCTCCCTCTCTGCTATTGGGGGTATACCTCACCTATCCATGTTTTGCTACTTCCACCTCATTCTCTGGCACCCTCAGGTGGCTATGCATCAACTTTCCTGATTTCTTTCTTCCTCTGCTCCTCCAATTGCTAGTTTTCTCTCCCGGGGCTCCAACGCTCTGAATGACAAGTTTCCAACTCCTTAATCCTCAACACTGTTCTCTGCCTCCTATCACTGACTCAGGATTCCCTTCCCTACATTGCTCTCCTGCCCCTGAAGATCCTGTTTTTATTACTCCTTTTATAAAACTGACTTTCAAGGCTCAATTTTTTTTATGTTACTGTCTCTTTGCAAGATCCCCAGCCATCATCATCTGTATTCTCATTGGTTCCCCTCATCCTTTTCAGCTGTTTTTCTGTGTCCTTCTGTCTGATTCTCCTACACCATCTTGCCTACATATTTCCAGGGATGCGACTGAATAACATGCCTGCCTACAAGAACATTCTCCAATTGAGTTGAGTTGGACACAGAAAAACAATGACTGTAACATGACTGGCCTGGGGCACCTCCACAAGGGGATGAAAGGAAGGGCTGACCATGAGGGGAGGCCCGAAAGGAAGGACTGCTCTGAGGATATGCAAGGAAGAAGGGCTGGGAAAGAGGGGGGGCCTCAAGTAAGGGGCAGGCTCTCCAGAATCCCAGGACCAGGGAAAGAATGGCATCTCCTGCCACCCTCCAAGGGTGGATAGGGCGAGGCTGGGGGATTGTTCCCAAAAGTTCTCCAATGCTGAATAGAAATGCAGTGACAGAGTTTTGGAGGAGTAGAAAGAAGTAGCTTTATTACTTTACCAGGTAAAGGGGGACACAGTAGACCAGTGTGTCAAGAAATGTGCCCCTGCTTCCTGGGAAGTTGGAACAGGTCTTAAGGTTTTCAGGGTGTATTTTGGGGGGTTGGGGGGGATGGGATGGGAAATGAGGCTGAAAAAAAGAACGAGGGGTGGTGTGGTCTTGCATTCTTCTCCCCCTCCTGGGTGAATTGAGATCATCACAGCTGGCATCGGGTGATTCAAGAACAGGTTCTGGTGGTCTCTGAGGTCATCGTCCCATGACATTCTTTCTGGAATGAAGAATGCTCCGAGAGGAAAGTAATATTTTCTTGAAAGGATAAACGCCAAGTGTAGCTAGAGGGCAATCATTTTCAGAGTGCAAATAAGCAAGAAAGAGAGGGAGAACAAACATCTGTAGGTTAAGTGGATGGAGAGAAAAAGGCCTGAATAAGGGCTAACATAATGGGGTGCCATGTTCAGTTTCTGCTACAGCAGGGGCAGAGGTAGTACACAGTTTGAAGAAGCAAAATGTTTGAAAGGCAGCATCTACATGGAAGAAAAGCCAAGGGCAGGGACCAGCCTCAGAATGAATTTAAATCCAAAGGAAAACAAGTCTTCTTTTCTCTGTAACATGCTCTGCCTTTGTATGTCAGTACATCACTGGGAAATGGCAGAATGGCTTCCAGGCATTTGGCAATGGAGACTGTCTCCTTCTTACAAATTCAACATTATGACTTATCCAAAGACTTAAAAGAGTGGAACTTTGACTAAAGACGTTGCCACACTCACTCACCAGGTTTCTCTCTAGTATGAATTCAGTTGACGCTTTGCAAGGGCTGCCAACTCATGAAAGATTTTGCATAACTCAATACATTTGTAAAGTTTTTCTCCAGTATGAATTATCTGATAAACTGCAAGGTTTCCCTTGTGATTAAAGACCTTGCCACACTCACTGCATTTGGAAGGCTTTTCTGCAATATGAAGTTGTTGGTAGTTTCAAAGGGTTGTCTTCTCAAGAAAGAACTTGCCACACCCATGTTACATTTGTAAGGTTTCTAACTATTATGAATTCTTAGGTGACTCACAAGGTTTGTTTTGACAAAAGATACTTATTACCTTTGTAAGGTTTCTCTCTAGTATGCATTTCCTGATCAAGTCCAAGGGCTTAATGAAAGACTCTGCCACATAAATGATATTTATATGGTTCTGCCTCCTGCATGGATTATCTCATGTCTGCTGATACCTGAGAAGAATGAAAGGTTTTTCCACAGACACTACATTTTTAAGGGTTCTCTCCAGTATGAATGCTCCCATGAATTACAAGGTCTGGATTTCAGTTAAACAGCTTAGCATACATACCACATTTCTGTAATTTCTCTCCTGTGTGGATTATTTGATGTCGACTGAGGGTTGAACTCTGACTAAAGGTTTTACCACAGTCATTACATCTGTAAGGTTTCTCTCCAGTATGAATTCTATGATGAAGTGAAAGCTTTCTTTTTTGACTAAAGACCTTGTCACACTGATTGCATTTGTAAGGTTTCTCTCCAGTATGAATTCTTTGATGAATGACAAGGTCAGAATTTTGGCTAAAGACCTTGCCACATACATCACATTGATGTAATTTCTTGCCTGTATGGATTATCCTATGTCGACTGAGGATTGAGCTCTGATTAAAGGCTTTACCACACTCATTACATTTGTAAGGTTTCTCTCCAGTGTGAATTCTTTGATGAACTGAAAGCTTTCCTTTTGTACTAAAGAACTTGCCACACTCATTACATTTGTAAGGTTTCTCTCCAGTATGAATTCTTTGATGAATGACAAGATCTGAATTTCGGCTAAAGACCTTGCCACATACATCACATATATGTAATTTCTCTCCTATATGGATTCTCTGATGACTCCCGAAATTTGAGCCCTGATGAAGCTTTTTGCCACATTCATAAAATTTGTAAGGTCTTACCCTGTGTGGGATCTGGTTTTGTATCAGTATTGAAGGATACATAAAGTCACTCCCATATATATTATAAATATTGGCTTGGAGAGTAGGAGAAACTATTTGAAGAGGTGAAAATGAGGAGCTACCATTGACATACTCATCAGCTTGATTAAATGCATTTTTCTGTTGACATTTAAACATATGGAGTTCATCTTGAAGACTTAACACAAGTCTATTTACAGTATGGTTGTTTCCTGCATCCCTTCTACCATGTTGACTTCTATTATCAATGACATCTCGGTTAAGATATGTACAGATATTTTTGTAATTTCTTTCATCATCTCTCCACTGAAACCCGAAGTCATTCATGTTCTCCTGAATTTCTGGGAGGCTAAAATGTTTGATTTCCGGGATTTCATTTCTTCCCCAAATCACTGTTTGGCATACTCCTCCTCTATCAGTGTGTGATTTTAGTTGTAATTTCCAGATATGTATATGAGAAATATCTACAAGATATAAAAAGCCATAGATATCCTATTCATTAAACTGCATGAATATAAGTTTCAGGTTGAATATAAGATATTAAATAAAATAATACTTCAAACACAGTTATGAAACTTCTCAACTATGTTAAACTTTTGAGGAACAATAAATAGGATTCTCCACTACACTTCTGGTACATTATGAAATGGCCAGGCCAGACCATCTGAAAAAAGGGCATGTTTAAATTCCTGAGGCTACATCATGAAGCTTTTCATGCCTGAGTCAACACGGCTTTGAGCTCAGTTAAGCAAGGTAGGGGATTACAAAAGGCAAACAAGGGTAAATCCAGATACCTTCCCAACTTTTAGAGGGAAGTTATCCTCACCCACAGAGAGCAGGTTCCTGAAGGTCTCCGACATCACATCCACGTATAAGGCCCTCTGAGCAGGGTCCAGGCATTTCCACTCTTCTGGAGAGAATTGGATGGTCACATCATTCAATGTCAACTGTGACTTAAAGTTAAAAAAAAAAAAATTTCACCAAGGCCATGAGGAGAGTTCTTATTTCCATACAAAATGAATAGAGGTAAAATATCAATTAAGTCAAAGAATGTATTCTGACAGAGCCATGGAAAGGCATTTAGAACATACTTGTATGTCTAATTTTAATTTCCTGTGCTTTGTCATTGAGATTATGATAGCTTCCAAATAGAAGTAGATTTTCTCATTTTTGTGGGCAATACATGAAATATATACAAATAATAAATCAACACCAAGTTGTCTCTGTGGAAGGGCTAGATTATTAGACACACTGAGAATGATCAAACTTGGATATAGAGGAATATGAGTGATGTTTTCAGAGATGACAAAGTCCACAGTAGTTTTAAAGAAAGCTCAAAACCTCCAATCATGAGGATGATGAGTGCAGCAAAGACAAACAACATTTGAATACTTCCTATATACTATGTGTTACTCTAAATGTTTAACATTTTTAACTTGTTAGCAACATCACAGCTCATTAAAGAAAGAATTTTTTACCATCTTACAGAGGAGAAAACTATGTCAGAGGAGAAGGAAATGGCAACCCACTCCAGTATTCTTGCCTAGAGAACCCCATGGACAAAAGGGCCTGGGGGTCTATGATCCATGGGGTCACAACTTAGTGACTACACCGCAACAACCATAACAACAAACACACAATCAGGCAGATTATGATTCAGGAAAACACCTTTTCATGAAAATGTGGCATAAAATGGAGAATGAAGAGACCTAGCAATGTGGAATGTAGAGTTTTGTAAGAGATTAAAATGTGAGTATAGAATAATAGCTGTTAATATTCAAACAATAAAGTCCATGGCTAAAGGAGGAAAAAAAAAAAGAAAACTATGTCAGAGACACTGAAAAACTCGACTCAGGTCAAGAACCTAACGAATCATATAGTAAGCACCTGAACTACCGTGTTTGGGTTCTAGAACTGAAGCTGAAAAATCAAAAGTAATGAGCATTAAAAGTTCATTGACAGATGATTCCCTGAGAAAATTTGAAAGAAATTCAAGCTGAATAACAAGCATCAGCCTAAGAGGTCATTTTACATGTGTGCACACATGCACACATACACCAAATGTTAGTAATCTTATTATTTAAACTGTGAACATGGCTGTATAGGAAAAAAAAACAATCAAGGCCAGAGAACATATTAAAAATACACTATCAACTGCAAAACGATATGATAGTTTTAAAATTATGATTTTTTTTTTTAATCATGATGAAAAGTGAAAGTCACTCAGTCATGTCCTACTCTTTGTGACCCCATGGACTGTACCCTGCCAGGCTCCTCTGTCCATGAAATTCTCCAGGTCAGAATACTGGAGTGGGTAGCTGTTCCCTTCTCCAAGGGATCTTCCCAACCTAGGGATCAAGCCCAGGTATCCCACATTGCAGGTGGATTCTTCACCATCTGAGGCACCAGGGAAGCCCCAAATCATGACATCCTTTATCTAAACCATGGACATGCACATCCATACACCTATGCATACACGTCAACACTAAAATAACTGAGTAGTCTGACAGTTTTTCAGTCTATTTTTTCAGTAGTTCTTATTCACATGCATTCTAAGATCCTTCAGACAATGAAAATGTACAAATTGTACTCAATTGAATTTCCCAAAAAGATTCTGCACTAGGATACTAAAAGAAACTAGTACAGACATAACACTGATTCAGAATTTAAAAAGTTATTACCGTTATACATTATTTGAACAGATAACAGATATAATCACAATAATAAACTTAAGATTCTTGAAGCACTAAAAAAAAGACAGAAATAATACTGAAAATATATGTTATTATTAAAAAAGAACATTTTACCAAATATCATGATTAAAAGGAAACTCCGAATGCATTCCTTTGAAGTTCCAGTGGAGTGAAAGGGGTTGGCCAGGGCTCCTGCCTTTCAACACCGTACAGGGTGCCTGAGCAGAGACCATGAGAGGAAGTGACCGGAAGAAAACAGACATAGAGCAACAGAGTAATCTAAAGACAAGAAAGGCAAAAAGTGAAAAGAAAGAAAAAGATATTCTATCCTATAGAGAGCAGGAGTAACTATGCAGTATCAGACAAAATAAATAGAAAAACTGACACAAGAGACAAAGAACATTACATAATCACAAAAGGATCAATTCCCCAAGAAGATGCAACAATTAATAAATATGTACTGAGGGAAGGCACTAGGTAAGGATGAACGTACAGGTGTCAAGAAAGAACACCTCAGAATCAGAAAGAAATCCAAAGAGAGGCATTTCAAGAAGGACAGACTGAAGAATCAACTGAGAATATGACTTCACCTGAGAAACAGCCATCCTTTACTTTCCTCTTCTTCCTCTTCTTATAGGCTTCTTACTCAGACAACTTGCATCTTTAGAGGTCAAGCTTCAAAGCTGAAAACAGGCTGCTTAATGGTTAGAATAAACATACTCCCTCTTCCTCTGCTGCAACCACACACACAGGGGAGATCTCACCATGTGGATTAAGAGTCCTGTGCTCCCCACTGTCACAGGAGGGACTCAGGACAGTAAACTCCCCAACAGAGACCAACAAGTTGCTTTTCCTACACTTTTCATCAGATCTCCCTACCCTCTTATGAGGCTGTTATGCCACACAGTAGCAGTGGGCACCTGAGCTGACCTGACAACGCCCTTCAAGTCAAAGACCAGGCCCTGGTCCATCCCCATGCAGAACAGAGCACCTCCTCCTCAGACTAGATCTCAGTCCTCAGAAACAGGAGGACTCATAGCCCTGATGTTCAGTGACAAGTCCAGACTGGAATCACAGGGGCAATTAAATATTATTGAGATTTCGCCATATACCGACAATCTTAAGAATTCCTGGTCAAAGTGTATAAAATATGTTATACAAATGACTCATTGATCTTCTATGAAGCCTGGATTGAGTACCGCTAAGAGAAGATTAAGCCTATCACATCTCCCACTTTTTCTTTTTCTTCTCCAGCTTTATTGAAATAAAAGATGAATGAAAATGGAACAAGTGATTCTCTGACAAACATATACACTGTGAATAATTATCACAATCAAGTAATCCATACTTCCATCAACCCAAAATTACCATTTTGTGTGACTATGTAGTGAGAACATGTAATTCTTTCTGAGAAAATTTCAAGTGTATAGAAACACACTGTTGATATGAGAATTCAAGTTGGTGCAGCCACTGTGGAAAGTTCCTCAGAAAACTGAAAACAGAATTACCATACAATTTAGCAATCCCACTCCAAGGCATATATCCAGACCAAATTATACCTCAGAAAGATTCATGCACCCCTATGTTTACAGCAGCAATATTTATAATACCCAAGGAAATACCAATATTTATAATACCCAAGGAAATACCAAGGAAAAACTAAATGTCCACCAACAGATGTGTGAATAAAGACGATATGGTACATATATACAATGGAATATTACTCAGCCATATAAAGAATGAAAGAATGCCATTTGCCACAATACAGATGGACCTAGAGATTATTATAAAGTGAAATTTAAAAAAAAAGAAGAAAAACAAAATAAAGAAGTCAGAGAGAGGCAAATATATGATTATCATTCATTTGAAAATCTTGAAAAAATGAAACAAATGAACTGACTTACAAAACAGAAATAAGACTCACAGACTTAGAAACAAAATTATGGTTACCAAAGGGGATTGAGGCGGGGGGGGGGGGTGGATAAAATAGAAGGTTGGGATTAATATATAAACACTACTATATATAACACAGATAACTAATATAGACATACTGTATACCACAGGGAACTAACTCAATACTCTATGTGGTAATCTATGTGGGAAAAGAATCTGAAAAAGAATCAACATGTATATGTACAACTAAATCACTTTGC